TAGGTGTTTTCTTTGCTTCTTGGATTCAAGGATCCAGTTCTTTCCAAAGGTTTGGGAAGTTCTCATCAACTATTTTATTGAATAGACCCTCTATGCCCTTCTTCTCTTCTCCTTCTGGTATACCCATTATTCTTATATTGCTCTTTCTGATGGAGTCAGTTAATTCTTGTAGAGTCCTTTCATTTATTTTACTTCTCATGTCTCTCTCCTCTTCCATCTGCATCATTTTCAGATTTCTATCTTTGATCTCACTAATTCTTCCTTCCATCTGTTCAGTTAAATTTCCTAAGCTGGTTATTTGATTTTTCATCTCTTTTATTGAGTTTTTCAGCTCCAGAATTTCTATTTCTTTTAAATTTCAATCTCTGGTAAAATATTTATTTTGTGCATTTATTTTATTTTTGAGTTCATTAAATGGCCTGAGTTTTCTTGCAGCTCGTTGAGTTTTTTCAGAGCTGCAATCTTGAATTCTCTGTCATTTAAGTCACATATTTCCATGTCTTTAAGTTTACAAGTATTTTCTGGAGATTTTTAATTTTCTTTATGTGCTGCTTTGTTACCTTGGTTATTCATGGCAATTAATGGATTATTTCTCTTTCTGGGCATCTATGGAAGTGAATTCTACAGCATGTTGATATGAAGAGACCTTCCCAGTAGGTAGTGCTGGAGCATTTGATTTTCTCTTGTGCTGTTTTGGCTTCTCGCACAGTGGGAGATTTCCGGGGGAGGTGGGTTTCTCCTCTGTGACCAAGTGGCTTTGGTTTCAGGGCACAACCCTCATGAGAGGATGTGGTGAGTGATTGGGTTCTGAACCTCTGAAATCCCAGTGCTGCCCTGGCAGCCAGATGCAGAGCTGTGAGTCTCAGCATCCCTCAGTGTTCCTGCTGTGATCAGCTGCAAAAGGTGGGGGCGGGTTGGGCTGGGAAAGGCAGCAAGTGTGTCTGTGGCTTTGTTCTCTTCTGAGTAATGGCGACTGCCAGTCCACAGTTGCCTCATCCCTATAGGTCCTCCTTTGTCTCTGGAATTAGCCACACTGTGCACCTGCCACTCAGGAACTATCTTTCCAGTTCTCAGTGATATAAATATTCTGCTCTTGATTTTGGCACTGCTACTGTTTTTTCAGGGGCTCAATGCTAGCACTGGGAGGATGTGGGGGAGGTGAGCTCTGGGAGGTTGGGTGAAGGTGACCAGGGTCCGTGGCTTTGTTTTCTGCCTGGCAGTGAGGGCTGGTAGACCACAGTTGTACTTCTGTATTTGGTCTTTCCCCCAAGGTTTCAGCCCTGATCATTGGGTTTCAGCCATATTATATGCTAGCCCTTCAGGCAGAATTTCTTGGGCCACAGAGACTGCACCTGCAGTTTCAATTCTCCCCTCTCCCAGGACTGCAGTGAACTTCAGGCTGTGTCCCACAGCCCTCGTCTCTATACTTCACCCTCCCTTTCTCCCGTTTGCCCCAATTTACCCACCTTCAGATGTTTGGATATGATCTCTCAGATGCATTTGTGTGTTGCATAGGGAATCTTCTGTTGAATTATAGCTGTTCTGTTTGTTGTAACTTCAAGGGGAGTATCAACGAGCACCCCGCATGCTTCCATATTTCTAATATCACTTCTTTAATATTTTTAAAGAACTCTATGACATAGCTACTACTATCATGATCTCATTTTATATACGAGGAAATGGAGGCTTGGAGAAATGTGTGGTGACTTGCCAAGGGCCACATGGCTAGAAAATAGCAGAGCTAGGATTTGAACTAAGTCTATCGTATGTCAAGGCCTCTGTTTCTATCTCCTATGCTTCGCCTAATATATCATCATCACTAGCTAAGAAAGAGTGCTCAGGGCCGGCCAAGTGGCTCTGTTGGTTAAGAGCTCGCTCAAGAGTTTGAGCTCTGAGCAACAGCGGTTCGATTCCCGGCCTGAGCTGATCATCCGCTGAGCTGCCAACAGGTGGCAGGATGGCTCAGCTTAAAAATAAAAAAAAATAAAAATAAGAATAAAGAAGAAAGAGTGCTCATATGCTACACAGAGGGACAGAAGTGTCACTGCACTTGGCTTCTAAGCGGGGCAGTTTGTTGTTACCCTGACAAAAATGCCATAAGGGAAGCACTGTCAACATGTCATTATTCATTCTATCCCAGGTTTCCATTATATCAAGTAAGGGATGAGAATGTCCAGAGCTAACACCCATGTTCTCTATCTTAGTCAACACTGTACACCACCAGGCCTTTTATCAGAAAGCCAAATGGGCTGGCTTGAATTGGCGGGTTTTCCTTCATGAGCCCTTATTGTAGCCATAAAAAAGGAGTAGAAGATAAAAGAGAAGATATTATAGAATATTATAATACTGATGATAATACATGGAATAATCTGGAGTGATCCAAGCCAGCATGGGCTGGAGAACCTAAGGGTATTCAGGAGGGGTTCCCTGCAAAAGAAGGTGAATTCGTTTTTCCATGTTCATTAAACAAGGCTGTTTTTACCACATGTTGACTTTTTTCAAACAGAGGGAACTAACCCCAAATTGGAAACCTCTGGGACAGAGGCCTGGCCAAATCCTGGAATTAAATATTGAAAGAGAGAATAAAGGCTTAGAGACTGGATTGTGCTAACAATTAGAATGTAAAAATGTAAAAACCAAGAATTAATTTTAAACAGAGATGTTTTTCTCTACTTTTCATTTGGAAATCTTCCCTTGGGGGAAAAAAGTCCAACAGCTAGAGGAGGAAAATCCCTGCTCCTTCTTTTGTAGGTGAGTTAACAGATAATACACATTCATGGAAAAGCATATTGCCATGTGTATTTCTCATTGCTTGATAGAGTAAAACATCTCCTTATGTGTTTTTCTGCTTAACTGCTACAATCAGTTTTTCAGTGTCTCCAGAGGTAAAATTCTTTAAGAAATGTGTGTTTATTTTACACTAAAATTGTACTGTCATTACTGTTCTCTGTCTTCCATCTGGAAGTGGAACATTTTGATGGACCATGATGATGAAATTCTTTGTAGTATCCCAAATGTAATGGACCTGAAGGGTCAAGGGAAGCCTTGTGGGCAAGTAGTCCTTGCACAGGCCGGGAGCTATGTCACTAAAATATGCTGTGCTTTAGTTTCTACCCTACAAATTGAAGCTAATGATAAGAAGACTGACACATGTTCCTGAGAAGGAATACAAATGAAAAAGGGTGTTACCATGTCACCACTAATGCCTGATACAGTGAGGCTTATCTTGCTTCTCTCATGTGGTCAAGGGAAGGTGAGTGTCCTTTACCTCCCCAAGCTCCATTGCCTAAAGGTATTTTCCTGACACGCCTTATGGGATTGAGCATGAAATTGACCACTCTGTGGTCAGAAATCTAATCACATCACAAACCAAAAACAAAATAATGCTCTGATGGCCTTTTCTCTGTTTAAAAGTGAAGTCTTGTATTCATGAATGTGTTATATGAGGCAAAGAATCCTATCTACCTTTCTGATTCTCCACTCCTTCTTCAGTATCACCCAGAGCTTAGCCATGCAGAACTTCTCCCAGACATTCCATGAATTTGTACGATTTCAAGCATTTGCTCATATAGTTCCATCTGCCTAGAGTGCATCTCCCAATAGCTTTTCTCTGCCTCTACAATCCTCAGGTGGTATTGGTGTTATGAAGCGTTTTCAGATTTCTCTCTAGGTAAGGCTAGCCTGTCCCTCCCTGGGTCCCCATGGTATTTGTATGCCCCTTTATTAGAGTACTTAGCATAGTGCAGTACAGTCAATTTGATGTTCTCTTCTCTCTCCATACCCACCCCAACCCCAAACACTGCACTGTCAGCTCTTTCACAGCAGAGAGGGCTTTCCTCATATCAAAGTTTTCAGCACAAGGTTTGGCAAATGGTTGGCACTTAGCCAATACACGCTGAATGAAACCATTACTATTCACATATTCTACACTCACCATATACAAAAATTAACTTAATGACCTGGTAGCTAATCAGGTGGAGCCCTTTGGCTCCAGAATGTTCTCATAGATGATATTTTGCTATCTTCAGGAAGATGGGGAAAGTGCTAACCAAAGTCATGTATCTTTTCACAGGTAGGTTTTAATCTTTCTTTGACTCATTTTCATGGACAGATTGATTGGTTATTTACATTTAATCACACCCTCTTTTAATTACACTCTCAGCAGCCTTTAACTCACTACTCTACATTTCCTATTTTGGTTAGATTGGGCTCTTGGCATTAAACTATTGCTTGGTTTAGTATTACTCCCATAATCATAATAATTACTGCTATACCATTAATTCTCACCTTATTGTTATCATCAAATACAACAAACTAAACACCAATGAGTCATACTTGGATGCACAACACTGTTGAAGCAAAAATCATTGAATTATGCACTTTGAATGGGTGAATTAAGAGGTATGTGAACTATAATTCAATAAAGATGTTAAAAATTTACACACTGATTATTAACATACTGATTATTGTTGATTGTGTGCCATCTTGTGCTTTCTTATACACCTGCTTAGAAAAGTGAGATTCAGAGAAGTGAAATGACCTATCCAGAATGACAAAGTTGGTTATTGGTAGAATCAGGCAGGAGTGGAACCCAAGCCTCTTCACATTCAGTCTAGAGCCCATTTTGCTTTTTAATACTGTACCCATATTCACACTTACACAGTTCCATTTGAGGAAGTTTTACTGAGGTCTAAACTCAGTATAAAAACACTTCCTCTGACAATACAGTGAACCCTCTGACTATCTAAATTCCTATTCTTATGCTGCAGCCTTCTTTGGTTTTATTGATTGGGATTCTTTCTTCAAAGGAATTAAAAGTGAAAGGCACCCCCATGATGCAGAATTATGACTTCATTCATGAGATTCACAAGATAAAAAGGAAAGTGGGGATTTTTTTTTTTTTTGCATTTACAAGAAACCTAAGTGCTACATGAACCTGTTTAGGGTTTGCATTCAGGTTCAGGGCACTTCAATCAGAGCTTAGCACACTTTTACTATACCTTCCATATTGAGTCATGATCCCAGGGGGGAAGTAGGTCGTGTAGCAGCCTCCTGAGTACTGCTCCTCGCACCAGTCCTTCTCTTCATAGTGCACCGGCTGCAAGACAGAGTGACAAAAGCCTGAAGGAGACTATCTAGTCTAGAATAAATCAAGCAGCCCTGTCGGCTTCATATTGAAGAACCATTATATGTCTGAAGTAGAGCCTTATTATCCTGATGTTTTTAGAGACATGTCTTTGGGCAGATAAATACCCTGGTAAAATACAATTCTAAGAAATTCTGACTTCAGAAAGTTTTCTCGGTTGGTTCATTCATGTCTCAGGTACTGTTTATAAACTGCAGTTGTCTAATTCCACTTTTAAATTGGCTTTAAGTATTAATAAGTTTTAGTGCTTAACGGTTTCAAGACAAGTTTAACAAAGGATTTATGCTTCTGGAGCGGTTGGAGCAGAAAAAGCAGAAAAACACATCTGTCAAGGAAAAGGGCTGAGAAGATTCATGTTTTTGGTGGAATGGAGCTTTGTTGAAGGCAGCTAGACAGACGAATTAATGTTTTCATGGGATGAAGGCAATTCTGTTGGTATTACTTATAAACAACTATTGGTCTGAAAAATATATTTTTTGCCCTGAACAGATAAAACATTACATGAGATTTTGCAAAGCTTGAGCTCTTTGTTAAAATGACGAAACATAAGCATTATCATTATGCATGATTTTGCAAAGATAAAAATCAACATGGTAACTTTTGAGAGCAAAAAAATATTACTTTAAAATAGATTTTGACCTTGAGCTGAGCGGCCATGAGCTGCCGACAGGCGGCCAGATGGCAACTAGACTTGGAGCTGAGCTGGCTGTGCCCTCCACAACTAAGATTGAAGGACAGCAACTTGGCTGTTCCCCTTCCCCAATTCCCTAACACTGTTCCCCTTCCCCAATTCCCCAATAAAATCTTAAAAACAAAAATAGGTTTTGAAAAAATGCTTTGTTACAAAAATTTGAAGTTATATAGGACCTTTGGATAGTCATTTGTAATGCATCCTATTTACAAAGCACTAGGCCCTGCCTGAGGGGCGTAAGTTGCTTCAGGCCTCTAGTGGTGTTCCCAAGTCTCACAGCCAGCCCTCTTCCCTCTTCACATCTGAGGGGACAACCACCTCATGAGTACTCTTTTCTGGCTGTTTTCTGCCAATCAGAAGGTTGGGCTTCATCTTTCACCTTACCTTGCTCCCAGGACTTGCTTCCTTTCACGCAATAGATAATAGAACAAGAGTAAAGCAAGTGCCCCTCTTTATGCCAAGAGCAAACAAGGACAGGACCAGCTCATTTTTATCATAAGCAAGTTATCATCCATATCTTTCTTAGGAAAATGGGACTTTCCCAAATTAAAAACCATCAACTTTTTTTGGAAATTTGAGAACAACTTCTTTCCTCTCTAACCAAGGTTCAACAAACAACTACCTTACAGATTGTTGGAAGAATTTCAATTACAAATTGCCTCAGCTCGAGATTATCTCAGAACATAACTTCAAAAAAACTGGGTATCTACCAGGGTAAAATCGCTTGAACAGTATTTTAAAACAGAAAACCCAGTAATTTTTAACAGATGTAAAATAAGTTTCCTTAGTGTATATATAATTTTGGTTTTGCTACTTCACTCACACTACCCTTGAACCTAGAGGCTATACTTATATTTAAACTTGCTAAATGGCATATGAAAGCAAAAAATGAAACAAAACACATTTTTTATTATTATTGTTTTTCTCCAAACCAATAAATTAATTATTCCTGCTTATTTGCTGAGAAAGAACTTCAAAAATCCTTAAAAGCATATATTTCACCTCTAGCAATGAGTATGAACAAATTTTTACTTGAAAAGAATGAAAAAAAAAGACAAATTGAAAAGCCACAACTTGACTAGGAGAAAGCATGTCACTGCAAAGTTGAGCAAGATAAGTGTTAGAATAAAGGTTAAGCCATGTAACTGCTCAACTAGGTCATGGTGCACACTGCAGAAATTTGGATTTAAGAGGCTTAACAAGTTAAACATTCTTAGACCCCCTCATTAGATTTTTCTCACACTTTAACTGCTCGTTTGTACATCAGTCTCCATTGCCTTCAAATGCTTCATGGATAACTGGATTTAATAATTGCTTTCAAAAGATTACTTAATCCATGTCAAAACATAAAAAACCTAGCAGTCTGGTAAATGTAATAAGAACACCAATTCATTGCTTTAAATAATGATGAGGAAGGCAGTTATGGCTACTGGTTATGAGCACATTTGGCCCTCTGACTATCATCAAACGTCCTAACACACTGCCTCCCTACTCCACCCTCACCCCTCCTTTGGCTACCTGTGGGGTACTACTAGTTTAACTTGAAGATCAGTTTCCTTAGGCTATTTCCAATGGTGTCTATGATACTCAGCTGACAGGGCTCACTTTGAGTCAATCAGCATGTCTTCCCTGCACCCCTAATGTTCAAGGGTAAAACAAGGCAAAAAAGGATGTGCAGAAGTGGGGCAGGCCACCCTATTTTTACTTTCAAGACAGTTGGGGGTAGGATGGGTGTTAGGAAATGTTTATATGCTAGTTTATGTATACAAATGAGACTCTGGTCTCTACATGATCAACAGAGAAATAGAAAACTCTTTTCATCCCCATCGTGGCTGTTAGGATGTAGAATTTCTCTATGGGTAGCAGAAGCCCCCTCTTTTACCACCTGACATAGCTGGGAGCAAAATGGTCCAATGCCGTGCTCCAGGAAGAGTTGTGAACTCAGGGATAAGCAGGGTACTACCTGGAATGCAACAGTGTTGCAGGGTTCCTGAGCTGCCACCAGCTCATCTGGGGCCCATACTCTTTGGGACAACTTATAAGTTGACAAACCCTGTGCAAATGCCTCTAAGAATATATCAGGGAAAGCATGAGCTCTAGGGCCCTACTTATGAGCCTATCCCTGCTAGCCTCTTGAAGACAAAGCAAGATCACTGTCCCTTCGGAAAGGGTTGTGAAGCAGTCTTACCTGCAAAGCTTCTTTGGAGCCTAGAACTTTTGCGTAGAGCTCAATAAGTTTCTTCAACCTACGGGAGTGGGGGAGCGGAAACAAAAGTAAAAATGAAGGAATGAAGTGAAAGAAAAAGTGAAAGAGGGACCTATCCTCTCATTCAAAAAGACTGTGAGCCATTGCTTCCACTTGACATTTCATTGTAGTTTTTCAAAACAAGGCACTTTGTTCTATTTCAAATGTCTTAAATCTATGAGGTCATAAATAAATTTAAAGAGAATAAAGTGATACATTGCCTGAATCACTGGAGGCACACGGAAATTTGTCCATTCACTCAAAAAAATATCGTGTACCTCCAAAGTGTCAGTCAATCTGCTCAGCACTGGAGATTCTGGGAGGGTTAAGGCCTGATCGTAGCTCACCCTCTTCCTCCTCCTACCTCACTACAAAGCAATGGGCAGAGTGGAAAGAGGAGGTAGCAGGAAGAACTTTGAATTATGCTTCTGCCTCTTAAGTACCCTAAGGTCTTGAGCAGGTTACTTAAGCTCTCAGAGCTTTAGTTTTATCAACAAACTCACATGATTTTTTTCATTAATGATGTAAAATGCTGTGGTCCCAGCAGCAGCAGTACCCAGGAACTTGTTATAAATGCACCCCCCCTCCCCAAGTAAACTGTCAGCTCCTGAGCTATATCCAATTTTGTATTCTCAGGTGGTATGTGTATTATACATTCTCCTATAACCATTTGCATGGTATCTTATGTATAATAAACTCAATAAATATGAATTTGAATATTTGGTTCTTAAGTTATAAGCACTGTGCCTTTATACAAGACACTTATAATTAATATAACAGATGTAGTATTGGGAACAAACATATTATCAGGCAATATTTATGTTAAAAAGTTAACTAAAATTGAAAGGCAGGCAAGTAGACAGAAAATTTTAAAAAGGAGGAAAAGAACAGAAGGAGGGGAAAGGATTGGGGAGGGGACAGGAAGGAAGACAGAAGTAGAGGAAGGAAGTAAGGGAGGGTGGGAGGGAGGGAAGAAAGAAGAGGCACTTTTTTTCTTACCTTTCCTCTTTGGTAAGACGTGCCAGTTTTCTGGCTTTGTTGGCAAGGATAAATCTAAAACATACAAATACGAAAAAGAGGGGCAATTAATTGCTGCTTTCATCTTGGCTTTATTACATTTGTGCACAAGTTAAAAGGCAACCAGAAGAAACAAATTATACACTAGCTTATTTTATGTTCAATGTTTTACTATTTACATGTTACATTCCTGACACTTAAAGGCACCTTCTAGTTTTAAAGATTCAAGGGACTAAAAACAGAAGACTGGCCATAATTTCTGACTGGGGTAATACTATGATTGGCCCACCTCCCTCTACATGACTGGTGGCTAATAGAAATGAGCACTGCATTTCAAATGTCCACCTAAGGTGTGTCTGAGCTTTTCAAATTTCATCCAGCTCTTGCCCTTTGGTTCTATCTCCAAAATGGCATCTCCTTGGTGCTCAGCCTTCTAGAATCCACCTCCATCCCTAGCCCTATGATTGCCTTCAACTTCACAGAACTGGCTTTGATCTCCTCCAAGACATTCCCCATCTGTGCTGGTCTTCTTTGCCAAGCTGAGGACTGGCCTCTCTAGTGAACTTGGAAAATCTCAACATCCCACATAAATACCACTGATGTCCACACAAGCCTCCACAAGAAGCCCTCTTATTAAAACTCTCTAAGTCAATTCTTCATGTCATGCCTTTGCAAAAGACAGCTTACCAAAATTTTTCAACCCCTAGCACTAAATATAAAGCAAAAACTTAATATAACAAATTTTAAAATGTTATTGGTGCTCTAATTCCCTTCTAAATATTTATTCATTGAAAGACATTTAAAAGATTGTTCCTACAGTTGGATTTAGAGAATAGTGCTATTGGGTAAAAAGTTATTTAAAAAAAAATTCGGGGCACATTTATTAATAGTATGGGAATACACTGTCAATACCAAATAGCATTCATGCCAACATAACTGTGCCTTACCCCATTATGGCGGCATAGCTGCCATCAGGTTTGGTATCATCCAATGTGTAGGCAATTGGAGCTTCCTCTTCTTCAATAATCATGGTTCCACAGTAATCTGGAGAACAGCAAAATGGGAGAAGATATTAATCACCCTACCGAGCTACCCATAGTGGTTACAATGAGCACACATTTTTCAACTTGAGAAGCCCAAAGGCTAAATATAAGATATTATATTCTAAATACATGGTGGCAAAACAAATTGATTTCAAAAGGAAGGCTAAGTAGCCAATATTTTGTGAAAAAAATAAAACTATAAGCCCCTCTCTGCAAAGAATAAACCAATGTGATACTATGTATTAATCCAGGCCACCCTTTAATGAAATCTTGTTTCCCTTGCCATTAATAGTTGCATCTTCTATTTTCTCCTTTATAAAAAAGTCAGATAAAATGGAAAATATAGAATACCAGTCCATAGATCTAAAGTAGAAGAAACTGAACGGTCACAATTTATAAGGAGATAACCTACTCTGTATTGACTAGTTTTTGATTATCTGGAGACATGGGCAGAAAAGACATGGTGTTATTGGGTAAAAAATTATTTTAAAATCTACAGAGTTCCAAATCCTCATTTCAAACATGACCTCCAGAACAACTTGGGAAACAATTTCAGCTCATTCTGGACAAAAGGCTTCTCTCATTCCCCTCCTGAACAAAATATAAGCAATTTCAACAAAAGACTGTGACAAAACAATGGTGAAAATGTCAGGGCAGAATCTTAAATGTTATAATATCCTACTACAGTACACCACTCCTTCTGCTCCATCATTTACTTGCAAATTGAGGTTGTTTGAACAAAATTATCATGGGAGACTCTGGCACAAATTTTTGGGCTTGTATAGAAAATCCAAAAAGAGGGTTTCAAAAGGAGGGAGAAAGAACAGAGAAGGAATTTGAGGGTATGGACTGCCCTGACCTGTGTATGAGCAGACATCCCTGTAGGCCTTTTTTACCTGCACTTGCATCTCTCTTTCCTCCCATGTCCCTCCCACTGCGCAGCCACGAGAATCAAAGTCCCAGTCAGCCACTGGGTTGACGGGTGCTTGCATTCCCCTCAGGTGTGTTGGGGCAGGAAAAACATTGAGAAAAACTGAAATGTGGGAAGGAGAAATGTTTAAAGACCATCCAAGAACTCAAAAAGATTTAATAATATAAGAGAAACAGCTAAAGTATCACCTGTTATGGACAAGAAAGAGAGGAGACAAGCAGGACAGGATGTGATAAGAGAAAAGAGCAAGTGCACACTAATCACGTGGGGGTCAGCTGGATTGGATGGAGAGATAGCAGAGGACGCCAGGCTGTCCAGGGCAGAGGCCCTGTTTTTTGGGTAGCGGGATTCTTTGGACACTTCCTTCCCAATGCAAAGCTGGCCTCTGAGCCATGCAGGTGCACTGGGCAGAAGTGAAAGAACAAGGGGCAGGAGATAAGAGCCATGCTCATGCTAGGACAAACCATTCGGCAACAGTGGCATTTCTATCATTTGTACATACAGAGCTCAGGAGCCCCGTCCATGCACACAGGACTTCTGAGACCTCCAGTTAGCTTGGGCCTGCCTCACTCTAAAAAGAAAGGGTCATTTAAAGACACCTACACATTTAACAAAGTCCTTAGCACGAGCAGCAAAGACAAAAACGGTAACAAACAAGAAGGAACTCTCAGGAAAAAAAGTGTATGTGGGTTTTACATTTGAATTTAAAGCAATTAAAATGAAATAAAATAGAAAAAAATTGGTTTCTCGGTCTTACTAGCTACATTTCAAATGTTCAACATCCACATGTGGCTAGTGGCTGCCATATTAGACAGAGAAGGTCTAGAATATTTCCATAATTCTGGAGTCTAGCACTTTGGTGAGTATCCCTATAATGTTCTACTCAATACAGTAGCATACTTGTTGAATATATATGAATGAACAAATTGATTTAATTTAATATAGTAGAACCTTGACACAAATAAGAAATTGCCTGGAAATTTTCAGAATCCTTACCTTTGCAAATAGCTTTATAAACTCATACTTTATGTTCACAAGATTTTGTGGAAGGATTAAATAATCTTCATGTTAAATTATAAAAAGAGTTGGTCATATTCCAAGGATAGTTAATTTCATGAGTTTTTCCAATATATTTTATTTGATAGAATTGTACTTGGAACTTGGACTAATGTTTTATGTCCAGTATTCTAAGAAAAACAGTTACATATAAATGCATGTCTTTACACCAAGTTTCTTTGACCTTCTCCCAAAGATCTTTATTTAAGGAGAGTACTTACTCTTTTTCCTCCAGAAGGGCTCTTTATAATAAACAATACACTTGATGACTGAACCCAAAGGCACACGAGTGATCAGCTGGTTTCTCAACATTGGCAGAGGGGGACTGAAGTGAATCTTCATGCCCAGAGTAGGAGGCACAGCACTAATTACATACTTAGCCTGGAAGAAAACAACGCAGTTAAACATTATTCATGGCTCGTTTTTGCTTATTTCCTAATGTTTCTCCTTCATTTTACCTTTGTCACCTCCTTCAGTCTCTTCTTAACAGAAAAAGTGGAAGGGTCTTGTTAAAACCAAAATAAGCCCTTATTGTTCCCTAGTTCAAAACCTCCAGTGACTTCCCATCACACATAGAATCAAAACCAAGTTCCACAGTCACTTCCAAGAACATACATGAAATGGATCTCTGTTATATCTTTGATCTCACCTTCTATTACTCTTCCCCTCAATCCTTAGTTCTGTCACTTTGACCATCTTGCTGTTCTTTCATCATGCCAGACATGCTTCTACCTCAGGGCTTTTGCACTGGCTATTCTGTGTACCTGAAATACTCTTCCCTCAGAGAGCCATATGGCTCAATCCCTCATCTCTTTTGGTGCTGTGCTCAAACATCAGTCAGGCCTTCCTTGATGACCTATTTAAAATTGCATGACCAGTTGTCCCACCCCACCTTCTGGTATACCCTCTCCCCCTTCCCTGCTTTATTTTTTCGATGGTACTTATCACTATCTGGCATACTCTATATTTTAACTATATATTTGGTTATGGCCTTTCGCCTTCACTAGAATGTAAGCCACATGAAAGCAGAGAATTTTATCTGCTTTGTTCACTATTATGTTCTCAATTCCTAGAATAATGCCAGGCACATATGAGGCTCATGATATTTATTATCAAATAAACATTTTCTTTGTTTTTCTAATTATGCAGGAGTTCAACACAGAGGATTAATAATACATGTTTTTATAACCCTCCCAAATATTCTAGTTCTCTTTTCCTTTCTTTCAGATAGAGTTACCTTTTTTACTTTTGGCAAAGGGATTGTCTATGAAGTCTGAAATATTCTTGGCTTTATTTAATCTTTGGTTATAATGGGACTCTGGTCTCTTTCCTCTAGTTTCAGGCTCTTGGTTACCTCATACACCTCACGATTTAGGGTCTCCACAAGGACATTTTCTCCTGTCTGGTCAATGTGGGTCACAGGCCTCTCCAGCTTCACTCGGTCCCCAAGGAGGTCCATTATCCGCTCACACACTTGACCAGATCCTCCCACAAATTTCCTCTCCTGAAAAAGAAAAAAATACTCAAGAGATAGGTAGGAAATATAGGAATGGGTATAAATTATTAAATTGGTAGTTTTCCTCATACATCTTTATGTGAGATACATACAATTTCATTTTGTTGTTGTGAATACTGCCTTTCACCATTGTTTTATAACTAGTTCTTGCTGCCTTTTGACAAAGTTACAGGTTTTCTAACAGTCACTTTCCGGACTATGCTTTCAAAGATTTCCAGGCTCCAACTTCAACTCAACAACCTCAGCCTGACTCCATGTACCACCTGTCTGGTCACTACCCCTGCTCTATGTCATATCTGCCTCTTTTTGTTGGATTGCTGGGACTAATCAAGTTCTACCTACAGCTGGGCCACCACTTGCCTGGGCTTGTTTTCCCCATCCTTATTACTCAGACTCAGAACCTTTCTGGCCAACCCATCCCCAGGCCAGCCTATTCCCTATTGCGGGCTGCCCATCTCATCCTGGGTCAGGTGCCTGCTGCTTCCATGGTCAGTGAGGCCATTTTACCTCACTGCACCTACCTGCCCAAGCCCTGCTAAAGCTTCCAAAGGTTCTTCATGGTCATGTATACAGTTGAGCTCACTGTCTCCTCCTAAATTTTCAGTCCAGCTAATTTTTTTAAATGTAAAATGACAAGTTACACTGTATTAAATTACTTTTTATGGGAAAAGACACTATTAAGAAAATAAAAAGGAAAACTACAGATGGGGAAAAATATTTGTGAAACATATCTAATAAAAGATATGCATCCAAAATATACAAATAATTGTTGTAATTTAACAACGAGAAAACAAACAACTCTATAGAGTACAGCATGAGGAATACAGTATTGTAATAATTATGTATGGTGTCAGATGGATACTGGATTTATCAGGGTGATCACCTTGTAAGTTATATAAATGTCTAATCGCTGTATTGTACACTTGAAACTAATATAATATTGTATGTCAAATGTAAGTAACAATAAAAAAGCATATTTAAAAAATAAAAATAAAACAAGCAACCCAATTTAAATGTGGGCAAAAGAGCTGAATAAACACCTCACCAAAAAAGAAACACAAATGGCAAATAAACATATGAAAAGATGCTTAACATCCTATGTCATTAGAAATTTTCAAATGAAAATATCAACGACATACAACCACACAGTATGGATACAATACAAAACACTGACAACAGCTAAAATACAATATAATAATAATAATAATAATAACAACAATAATAATGCCAACTTTTGGTGAAGATGCAGAGCAACATTCATTTCTGGTGGGAAATCAAAATGGTTCAGCCTTTGCAATACACTTTACCAGTTTCTTTCAAAGTTAAATATAATGTTACCATATGCTCACCCAATCAAGTTGAAAACTTATGTCAACACAAAAATCATTAAACAATGTTTGTATGACCCAAATCTAGAGCCAACTATGGTACATCCATACATTGGAATATTATTCAGTAATTAAAAGAAATGAACTTTCAACCACGAAAAGACATGGAGAAAATCTATATGCATATTGCTAAGTGAAAGAAGCCAGTCTGAAAATGCCACATGCTGCATTGTTCCAGTGCTATCACATTCTGGAAAAGATAAACTATAGAGGCAGGAAAAAGATTAGTAGTTGCCAGGAGTTGGGTAGTGAAGACATGAACAGAAAAAATCACAGGGGATTTTTAGTGCAATGTAACTATTCTGTGTGAAATTTTAATGGTTGATACATGGCATTATGCATTTGTCAAAACCTATATCACTGTAAAACACAAAGAGTGAGTCTTAACATAAACTATGAACTTTAGTTATAAGGGATTCATTAATTTTTAACAAATACACCACATTAAAGCATCATGTTAATAAAAGAGGAAACTATATTGGCAAAGGGTGTTTGGAAACTCTCCATACTATACTATCTGTTCTTTTTTTTCTTTTTTCTGAATCTAAAACTGTGCTAAAATCTAAAGTCTATTAAAATTTTTTTAAAGTTCACTGCAGAGTAAAAGCATTTTTTTTCTGTTATTCTTAAGAGTATATTAAGGACTTGACTGGGCAATTCCTTGTATCATTTATTTTAACTGTGGCTACTCATTAATGTTTCTGCTGGCAGATGGGCTGGTCTGGAATGTCCAAAAACGCTTCACTCAAATGTCAGAGTCTTGGCAGGAATGAGTGAGCAGCTAGTCCAGCTAATTTTTAAAAGACTATTTCAAATGGGTTTAGGAAGAAAAGAAGGAGAAAGAGAAGGTGAAGAGGAAGAAAAGGAGGAGGGAAGAAGAAAAAAGAGGGAAATGAGGAGGAGGAAGAGGGGGAGGAAGAAGAAAGAGAGGAAAGGAAAATGACTACCAAGCCAACTATATAAGAACTCTAACCCACTTCCTACTGTGCCTAGCAAAGTGCCTTACATAATGTTGGGGCTCAGGAAATAGGCAATGAATGAATGAATGCTTTAAAATGAAAATGTATTTCTGACTTTCCAAAAAGTGCTCAAGTTATGTTCATCAGATGATCTCCTAGAAACTTACGAAATAATAACCAAATGTATACCTAATTGGAAAATTGGAAAGGTAAATATAAAGAGACAAGCCTACTCTTAAAATTACATTGACTGATGGGTTCTCACATCGAATACCTAACAACAGACTGTTCCTCACAAAAGTCACTTTGGGCTCTCATGAGAAAGCTCGAAAAGCCACAAGACTGCCTCCTGATTCATCCGTTCATGATTGAAGGATGATGGCAATCTTGCGTTTAGGCAGTGGTAGTTTCCTGTTGGAATGGTGGGGGTATGGATGAGTACCTGTCCTCCATTGGTTGTTGAGATGATCCTGGTCGTGCCTCCACACTGCTTCACATACCACAGGAACCAGAGAGCAGAGACCTCATGGGTCTCTGCAGTGACACACAGGTTCACAAAGAGAGTAGCAAACTTCTTTGCAGATCTGCTCAGGAAGAAACAAGAGCAAAAATGCCAAATGCAAAAGAGCATCATTGTCATTCTCTGGAAATTATTCAAGCAATAATTTTACTTGGCTAAGTTTGGCACAATTTGACAAGTTACAGAAAATTGTCACTAGAATCCTGTATTATAAAATATGACATCAGGGCCGGCCGAGTGGATATAAACTCTTTAAAAATAAATAAATAAAACATGACATCAGAGATTTCGGGAGTATGAAATTTATTTTCCCCTTAACCAAAATACCTTACTCAGAATCAGCTTGTATTCCATATTCTGTGCTGTCATGATTTCTCCCCACACACTTGTTACTCTTCCCGTGATCCCTATCTCAGTAAAAGGCATCACCATTCGTCCAGTTGCTAAGGGCAACACTCTAGAAATCAACCTTAATTTTGCTCTTTCCATCACTCTCCTGCATCCAATCCATTAGGAAGTTCTGTTGTCTTTCCCCACATTACTCCACCTTTATCACCATCACTGTAGCATCATCTCTTGCCAGGAGCATTGCAATTATCTCCCACAGACTAGCCTCTACCTCCACTTTCCTCACCTGGTATCTATTCACTATACTCAAAGCCAGAAGCGTTTTACCTCCCTCTCCTCCATGGTGCTCTTTCTAAAGTGTAAATCAAATCCTGTCATTCCTGCTTAAAACCCTCCAGTGGCATCCTATCAAAACCAGAATAAGATTCAGAGCTTTAACCATGGCCTCCAAAGTCCTAAGTGATGTAGCCCATGCCTACCTTCTCTATATCATCCTGTACTCTCTCTAGTAATTCTAATGTCTCCTCAGAAATGAACTCTTATATGTCTATGAAAATGAGCACTGGCTTCCACATTCCCAGCACTTTGGCATTCTCTATCATTTTACCATAGTATAGTATCTTTAGAAATCTTTTCACTGTCTTAAATTATCTTAATTATTATTTTTTATTGCTATCTCCCCCTCTAGAATACCAACAAATGAGAACAGGAATCTCAACTTTCTTGCTTACCATACTGTCCCCTTTAATAAAAGTGCCTGGGATATGGTAAGCACTCAATAGTTACTTTTTGGATAATTAATGAATGGTTGATGAGAAATATCAATTACATATTATTTTTAGATTATCTATAACATACAAGGAATATACTAGGTGCTGTACCAAACACAGAATTAGTCACAGTTATCTATTCAGTTATTTTATTGCCTAAAGTAAAACAAGCCCAAAGGGTGGATGAGGGGGAAAGCAATTAATAGAGCATAGATAGGTGAACATTTGCTTGGAGGTGTCAGCAAATGGCAAGAGGTTATATCCTACCAACAGGCACACCAGAAAGTGAATGATTTCACGCAATTCCGATGACTTAATTACATCTAACGCACCCCAAAATTCACAGTAGTAATGTGTACTCTGGGATATATTTAATAAGGACCAATCCCCCTTTTGACTTTGACATAAAGTTTGTGTGTTGTTAGTATGGTTATGTCTGAGGCAGAATTTGCCACCAGGTCGTGCTGACAATGGGCGGAATAAATAATACTGTCTTCCATTTATTGAACTCTGTGTTTTTTTTCTCCACACTCTATGGTTTTTAAATCTATTGTCTTATTGAATTGTCATAATAACTATAAGACAGTTATTATTTTTCCCCAGTTCACAAGCTCCAAAACAATCTCAAAGAGGTTAGTAATATGTAGTACACAGCTCACTAAATGGTACAACTTCAAACCACATCATACCTGATTCAAACCTCATGTTTTTAATACCTCGAAATGCTTTATGATTCGTCAACTGACAAGTTGACTCGGGGCACCTCTCTAGTGTACCTTGTATCTGGAAGTTTGTTGAATTACAGCTACCACACATACCAGTTACTGACAGTGTTTACATTAGATTTTCAACCTGTATTAGATTTTCAGCCACAACAACCTGACAGAACTTTTGTGACAGTCCCCATACTTTAGCCAGCAAATGGTGTAATATATATGTTGAAGTGACTTAGAGTTAGTTTCATAAGGTTCCTCATGATAACTGAAGGGATGGAAATTGCTGACTCGTGGTGTCTTTGCAGAAGCAATTTGTGGCAAATATCCAATATCCAAATATCTATCGAAAGCAAATATCCAAACATTGGGGTTTAAAATGGTTTCCCTTCTAAGTGAATACATCCTTTGCTGTTTCCTGATGTCCTATTTCTTTTATTCCCTCTTTCATAGGTGAATTGGGGCAGCATAAGGTAAAGGGAGTAATAAATAACTAAAACTTAATGTTGGCCTAGCCAGACAGCCAATATTAAACAAAAATATTGCTGCAATTGCAATTGTTATTGCTGCCAATTTAGTGAGAAAGATAAAATCCTAGTTTGAAATGGAGGGAGATCTAAAAGTAATTCTCCCTGGAGGGCCAGGCTATTCCTAATCCATTATTTGATTTACTCTGGGAGCTTTAGTGAGAAAAGAAATGAGAAGAACAATATCTGAGGGATGGAAGGTCAAGGAAGCTAGTGCAATAATGTTTTTGTATTCTTTGCCCCATCGACTTTTTAAAAGATAAATGTTATTATAGTTTCTACCTGAAAAATAGATACACATATAAAATTTGGAAAGTTCATAAAGTAAAAAGGTAAGAGAATGAGTATCTTCCATATTTCTGCTCCCCCAAAGATAGTCACTAGTTTCATTTTGATGCAATTTTTCTAGTTATAGGTTTTTAAAAGGGTATTTACAAAGGTATGACCACATTGTAAATTTAATTTGTGTTTCTGTAAAGCACTTTATAAATAATAACTGGAAGAGTAATCAACATTAGTCTTTGTATGATTCTGCTTTAGTTTGAATCATGATAGATTGGATATTCTGGGTATTACTTCCTTTAAAACCAGGAAATATATATCTTGTATATCTTCCTTAGGAAAAGTTACAAAATTACCTTGTGTTCATATATTCCTAATATCTCAGAATGCTTTATTTTGTCAGCCAACAACCTAGAATTTCACTAAGGAGAGTGCTAGGCCAAGGACTATGATAGAATAATTCAGATTTCTATAGTCCCAAAGGAATATAATTAGTCCTATCATCAAGGAGCTTTAAAGTTCTCTGGCGAGAAAAGACCTAACTGAATTTATGAAAAGCTTTTCATAACATAAGTTATAAAGCAAATGCAGATAATTAAATACTATATTTTGAAAATCAAATGTATAGAATTTAAAAGTAAATTCTGCAACTTTATTACAATCCAAATAAATTATATTACAAATTACATTGTCAATAAAGTGGTAAATAGCATTGGATAAGTGTTAAAAAGGATATAAGTAATAATAGGCATTGAATTCATAATAACAAAAGGATTTTACTATTCTAGAATTGGTTGCTTTTAAAGGTTGAAGACATAGGAGAAGTACAAAGATGCTTATCACAGATAAATCTCTATTATTAATAATAATAGTGAAAAACTAGAAGTAACCAAAATGCCCAAAAGGATATTAATGGATAAATACATTACGGTATTCACTTTCCATGGAATATTCTGCAACCATGAAATATGATGCTTGGTGAAGCATTTTTAAAGACGTGGATAAATTTTGTATTGTAATATTAAGTGTTAAAAAACATTTTGATGATGTCCATTGCTTTTGCAGTGCATATACAGTTTCCTTTTTAGAAATGAGAATGTATATCACACTGTATATATTCAATGACAGCCTGCTTTTCTATATGTTTAATATGGTTTCTAAAGCCATTAAATATTATTCTATGTTGTTTTGTACACCTGAAACTGGTAACAAAAACCTAAAAAAATTTTCTTCTACAACATGATTTTAAAAGACTTTAGAGCAGCGGTTCTCAACCTTTCACAGGGGTTGCCTAAGACCATCAGAAAACACATATTTTCGATGGTCTTAGGAACCGAGACACCGCTCCTCTATCCATCTCCAGGCCCACATGCAGATATGCCCACATACGAGTACCCGGCGACCCCTGTGAAAGGGTTGTTTGACCCCCCAAAGGGGTTGCGACCCACAGGTTGAGAACAGCTGCTTTAGAGTATTCCAGTTTTCAGATGTCCAATAATTAATTTAACCAATCTTGTATTACTAGACATTTACATTTTCCATTTTAAAAATAGTAATTTGAATCTCCTTCTCTCCCTTTCTCTCTCTCCCTTCCTCCTTCCTTGTGTGCCTTTCTTCCTGTCTTCTTTTCTCTCTCCTTCTTTAAGCTATATTTTAAGAAGTTGAATTTATACTGGGGGTGCCAAAAAAAAGTATACACATGACTTGTATTCATCTTTTGTTATCGGTATATATTGAGTATTACAATTTTAATAGTATTTTTTCCTTTCTTAAAATGTGTATACATTTTTTGGTACCCTCTGTATATCAGTTAGTATATAAATTTTATGTCTTTTGATTATTTCCATAGCTTAGATTGAGATATTTCTAAAAACTTGTTTTGTATTTTTAGTTGTCAGTGCTCCAGCTTCCTTCCCCAATGCCTAGTGAAGACATCCACCCCAGATCCAAACATACTCCCAACTCATGCTATTTAGCATGGAAGAACAGTCTCCTGGCAGTTGCCTTCCATTTCTCTTACGTTGTTTACCACCAATTCACCATGTCCTTGTTTCCTCTACATAGTTATGAATTATCATAGTTATGAATTATCCAGAGAACTTCTCTCTACACTTGACCACCAGTGAGGAGCACAAAAGTATTCCTACATCAACAACTTGAGAAATTAAATCTTGAAGCTAATGGTCTTGAAGCCGTTCTAAGCTAAGGAGGTGGCACATTCTCATCTGTTCTGAGGACTTCACGGAATAATACCAGCTTTGTGATGCAAAACCATTCCAAAGATGTAGGTTGACGAGTAGACCCCTGTAGGGTAGGACTCATTTCCAATACTTTTCAGCATTGCACCTGGCCAAACGGCATGGGCTTACACACAATGCAGCTACTTGCCGCGTCTGTGTGTAACGGGATCGCTAAACAAACCTACAAGAGCGTCACAGTGAATGCCTCTGCCTAACGAAGAGTCTTACTCAGTCCAGCACGTCCTGTCCAGCAGCTCCTTCATCGTCATGCAGTCCCACTCTTCTGCAAGCGGCGCCTTCCACGGGGCGTCACTGGGAATCTGCATTCAGAATAGAATGTGTTTTTGGAGGGGTAATGTCATTTTCTACTTAAAGAAAACTATTTCAATAGTATTAAAACCTCTAACTTAAAGACAGAAAGTGGAAGTTTTACAAATCCCCCCAATAGTGACTTACTGCCCAGCCAATGCTCTCTGTGTAGCTTTCCTAATATAGAACTCTACCACGTGATCAATATTTAATGTATGATAACACTTCCTGCACAATAAATGGAGGCTATGTTGTAATGGGTCCATTTCCAACTATCGATTACTGAGTTACTTATTTAGAGAGAACATTCATAAATTCAGCGCCTTAACACAGATCAGACAGCTGTACCAAATCATGTCTAAACTGGAGTTTCAGGTCAGGTTCTGTGTGTTTTTACTTATGGGCTATAGGTTTGGGCATGGTGGTGAATCAAAGACCCAGAAGTCTTAATTTACTATGTCCCGGGGATTTTCTAGATTAGCAATGTCATCCCAGGAAGGCTGAGTAATATATGATCTTCTCCCCACCTCATCAGCAGTGAACAGCAGTCTGTTGGACCTCTCATTCTTTTAGAAGTTAGAAACAAGTTCATTCATTCATTTAATAAATCATTACTCAAAACTACTCCGTGCTACACAATGTGCTATGCATTGGTGATATGTTGCATCTTCTTTCTTTAAAACGTATTGTGAAAAATGCAAATGTAGTCAAAGAAGATTTAGGAAGCTATACCTCTTGTCCCATGGCATCCATTGTCCTCCAAAGGTTGTTATGATCCAGGTAGGTAATTGGATTCCACACAGATGGGAATGGGCCCCTGAATTGGTATGATTTGCCCTGTGAGATACAAAATATTTTTAAAAGGAAACATTTACTACAATGTAAAAGTAATTAAATCCACCAAGTAGATAAATGCCTGCAAGCAAAATCATGTTAGTTAGCAATATGTAATACACACTCAAGTGTTTTAGTTCCTTGTGGCCACAGAACCCTACTTAACTTTTTGGAATAGAGATGTCAAACAAAATTGTGTTACCTAAATAAATTTGGTGCTACAACAAACACAATTCAAATGTTTCTGAAATTGAAACCCTTACCATGTAAAATTTAAATGCCAGTACAGAAGTGGGTTTGCCTAAAATAATCTCATTTCCCAACAATGCTTGCTAATACCTCAGTGTCAGGAGACCCTGTTTGCCTGGAGGGTCAGAAAATTACAACTATAAACATTATACAAGGTAGAAGTGGACAAAAAAGCAATCGTAGAAATGCAACCATCTGTAGGAACAGCCACAAAACAGAGCCCACAAAACAGATTCCCAAGGAATCAGATGCTCTAGGTCAACTAAGAAATTCTCAGAGATCAGCAAGGTCAAAGCAGAAAGAAGAGACTACTTGGGACATGTTTATTCTACCTGGCTTTCCCAGCAGGGCAGGGACACCTTGACACAGAGATGAAGGAAACACATTTGCCCAAGGGTAAATAATAAGACAATCTATAAGTCATCTCTAGGGGGGGGGGCTTAATTCATTGATGGCAGTTAAGGAACATACACAAAAACCACTTTTGGTCCATTTGAAAACCTGAGTCAGAAACAAGGCTGTGCATTCTGACATCTTTCAACTTAATTGGAAAAACTCAAGGTCCACAGTTAACCAAAATCTCACAACTCTCAGTCATTCAGCAAAGATTCATCTCATATTGACTTTGCAGGCAGAGAAACTGGAGTTGCGAAATGAAAAGAGATTACATGTTTGCTTGGTTTTTTGAGGGAAAACCACATTTCTTTCTTTCTTTATTTTAAAATTTATTTTCAATTACAGCTGATATACAATATTATATTACTTTCAGGTGTACAACATAGTGATTAGACATTTATAGACCTTATGAAATGATCCCAATAAGTCTAGTACCCATCTGATACCATACATAGTTATTACAATATTTTTTACTGTATTCCCTTCCCTATGCTGTACTTTATATCCTCAAGACTATTTTTAGAACTGGCAATGTGTACTTCTTAATCATGTTCATTCTTGTAGTAATTCTGTGATCATGTTCATCTCTCTCCAACAAGGCCATAAGATTCTCAGGGAAGAGTTATTATACAGGCTTCCATTTTTTCTTGTGTTAGTCAGGGTCCTCCAGGGAAATAAAACCAAAAGGATGTGTGTGGGAGGCGGGGGAAGGGAGGTTAATTTTAAGTAATTGGTTCAGGCAATTGTGGAGGCTTGGCAAGTCCAAAAACTGTAGGAGAGGCTGGCAGGCTAGAGACCCAGGGAAGAGTTGCCGTTCAAGTTCAAAGGCAGTCGGCTGTCAGAATTTCCTTGGGTGACACTACTGACATTATGAAGAGTAATCTGTTTTATTTAAAGTCTACTGATTTAAATGTTAATCTCATCTAAAAAAATACCTCACAGAAATATCTAGAATCGTGTTTGATGAAATATCTAGCTATTGTAGCCTACCCAAATTGACACATAAAATTGACTATCACGCCACTTAATCAGCTTTACTGAGGTGTAATTTACAAACAATGAAATGATTTTCAATGCATGATTTGGGGAGTTTTGACTCATGTATGCACCTGTGTAACCATCACCACAATCAAGACATAAAACAGTCCTATCACCCCAGAAAGTTCTCTCTTGTCCCTTCCCAGTCAATCCTTGCCCACTTTCTAGCCCCAGACAACCACTGATTAATGTTCTGTCATTATAGATTGGTTTTGCCTGTTCTAGTTTTTTCTTAAAAACAGAATCATGCAATATGGATGATTCTAGGTTAATCTGTCTTCTTTTGTTTGGCATAATGTTCTTGAGGTTTGTCCATGTTGCAGTTTGTTCCCTTTTATTGTTGAGTAGTATTCCATTATATTATATGTACGTACCATGCTTTGTTTATCCATTCCCCTGTTAATAACTATTTCTAGTTTTGATCTACTGTGAATAAGCTGCTATGAACATTCTTGTATAGGTCTTTTTGTGTACATGTTTTCCTTTCTCTTGGGTAAATGCCTATGAGTGGAATGGCTGAACTGTATGTGTAACTTTTTAAGTTTAACTGTTTCCCAAAGTGGTTGTACCACTTCACATTCTCACCAGCAATGTATGTGTCCTACTTGCTCCACATCTTGACCAACACTATGGACTTTTATTCTTTATGTTTCAAATACACTTTTTATGTTAAACAATATTAGATTTACAGAGAAGTTGCAGAGACAGTACAGAAAGTGCCCGTATACCTCTCAACTAGTTTTCTCTCATGTTAGCATTGTACATTCCCATTGTATATTTATTAAAACCAGGAGATTGACACTGGTACATCACCATTTATGAAACTTCAGACTTCACCAGTTTGTGGTCTAGTGTGCTTCTTGTGTTCCAAGATCCCATGCAAGATAGCACATTACATTTAGTAATCAGTCTCCTTGGCTTCCTCGGATCTGTGATAGCTTCTCAGTCTTTCCTTGTTTTTTCATGACCTTGACAGTTTTGAAGAATGCCAGTCAGGTATTTTGTAGAATGGCCCTCTGTTTGGATATGTGAAGTTTTTTCTCATATTTAAATAGGAGTTTTGGGTTTGGTGGAGGAATACAACAGGACCAAAGTGCCCTTCTCATCACATCGTGACAACCTCTTGACTTATTGTTGGGGATGTTAACTTGATTCCTTGGTTAAGGTGGTGTCTGCCAGGTTTCTCCACTATTGTTACTATTTTCCCCTTCCCATGTTTGGTTCTTTGGAAAAGAGTCACTAAGTTCAGCCCATCCTCAAAGGAAGATAGTGGGAAGTAAGTTCTACTTCCTAGAGGCAGAGTATCCACATATTTAAAAAAATTTCTTCTCTAGGGCCGGCCAAGTGGCGTGATGGTTAAGAACTGGCTTGGGACGCCAGAGGGCCGCGGTTCAGATCCCACATATGAGGGCCAGTACACTGCCCTCCACAGCTAAGATGCTGAACAACAGCTCAACCTGGAGCTGGGCTGCCATGAGTCGCCGGCGACGGCATAGGCTGCAGCCCCTGTGGCGGTGGGTTGCCATGAGCTACCGTGTGTAGCCAGCAGCCAGTGTGAGCGGCCAGCAGCCGCAGTGAGCGGCCGTCCAGAAGCCGGCAACTGATGTGCCTCACCCGGGAAGAGCGCAATGATGGTGCCAACTTGGGCCAGTGAAGCAACGTCCTCCACAACTAGACTGAAGAACAAAACGACAGCAACTTGTCTGTTCCCCTTCCCCTAATACCCCAGCACTGTTCCCATCCCCCAATTGCCCAATAAAAATCTTTAAAAAAAATTCTTGTCTAAGGAAGATTTGCTTCTTTCCCCTGTTATCTATTTATTCACTCTTATTTCTATCTGTATGGACTTACATATATTTACTTTACACTGTGGGTTATAATCCAATACTACAATTATTTATTTTTTTTACTCAAGTTGTTCCCCCTGTGGCCATTGGGAACTCCTGTGTCCTTTTGCTATTCCCCCATCCTTTTGTTTCTTGAGCACTTCCTTCATTTTTGGCATTAGAAGATTGCTCAGGCTTATCTACTGTTTCTGCCCCAGCCCCAGGATCTGCCATTTCTCCTAGGAGCCTTTGTTCCTTTTATCAAAAGAATAGTATTTAGAAGCAAGTTCTGGCTGCTAGGTGTATGCTGGCTTAAAAAAACAGCTTTGTTGATATATAATTCACATACCATACTATACAATTTGCATGCTGATTTTTAAAAACCTCTATGCATGAATTCAGACAATTAAGTTCATGAACTCATCCTAGAAAGAGTGCTGCATACCTCATTGCTGAATATCACTACAGTCACCTTTGAAGTACTCCCTTTAGGAAGGTATGCACCGACGCCAGTGCCTAGTCCACCTCTCAATGCAATTTTGGAAACTTTTTTCCTGGAATGGCCATCAGAACTGTCATCATATTACCCTTGATGTTCTGAATGTCATCAGAATGTCTTCCTTTCAATATTTCCTTTATCTTTGGTTAAAGAAAGAAGTCACTGGGGGTCAGATAAGGTGAGTAGGGAGGGTGTTCCAATACAGTTATTTGTTTACTGGCTAAAAACTCCCTCACAGACAGTGCCATGTGAGCTGGTGCATTGTCATGATGCAAGAGCCACGAATTGTTGGCGAAAAGTTCAGGTCATCTAACTTTTCCACACAGCCTTTTCAGCACTTCCAAATAGTAAACTTGGTTAACTGTCCAGTTGGTACAAATTCATAATGAATAATCCTTCTGATATCAAAAAATTTTAGCAACATGGTTGTAACAAGTTTGCAAACTTAATTGTCAGACCTTGTATGACTCCATCAGAGCTCAGCACACAGAACTTACTCAGTAGAAACCTATGGATTGATCCATGGGTCAATCTCCATAAAGAACATGTGGATCCCAGTTCAGCTCTGCCTCTCTTAAACTGATTGACACAGAGCAAGTGAGTTGCATAATCTCTATGGGCCCAATAGCAATCTTACCAATTAAACATCTCTTGGCCCCATTATCCTCCTCCAGGAAGTATGTCCAGATTACCGTAAACAGCTGGGTTAGGTGGCCTTCTCAGTGACCCAGATCTCTCCATTTACCTTTCAACTGTCACTAACTTCAATGCACCAGCATCATGCATTTACCATTTTGTGTCATCCATTGGATTGTAAGATGCAAGAGCATGGGTGTTGGAGCCAGTTTACCTGGGTCAAGTCATGGCTCTGCAACTCACCAGCTGTGTTAAATTGTTTAACCTCTTTGTGCTTCAATTTACTAATTTGTCAAATGGGATGGCAGTAACTCCCTCACAGATGTACTCAAAAGGTAAAGTGAGTTGAGCCATGTAAG